GGCAAAGGGTTTCGTGCATCTGAACCGTACAAGTGCATCATAGTCACAGGATATGGCAGGTCACGGAAATGGTGGGACACAACAGATGTCCAGACGGCTGTTTTGAACATGCTGCGGACCATGAAGCTGAGCGCAGGAGTCCTTGAGACCAATGCTGGCCGTTTGCAGCTGGTGCTCCGCAAGCGCGACATGCCGCTGCTGCAGCAGTGTTTCAAACAGGGCGAGCCGATGAACGGGCGGGTTCGAGGGGTGCACTTTTGGCCTTCCCTGAAAGCAAACCTCTGATTTCAGAGCCCAATTGTTGTGAGCGCATTTGGTTGTAAAACACTTCACCCATGAAGGTTACTTTCAGGGGGCTTTCTGAATTGGGTCTTTGTTGGCATGACATTTTTTCCTTCAATCTAAACACCCTCCTCCAGTTCCAGTCGGAGTTTACCCAGCATTTCCAGGGCTGCATCCCCCCAAATCGGAAAAACACACCGTGTCATGCGCCACCCTTGGCCAGGCCTTCCGGGCGCCTCGCCGCGCCCTCGGAAAGGCGGGGAGGCATCTGCTCCGATTCGCCGCCAGTCAGGGAGCTCACGCCCGGGCCATTGCGGCAATCGGGTTCTAGCATGCCTGCATATGAGATAGTTGAGTTCCAGAAACGTGCGTCCATAGCACAAACAAGCAGTTAGACGAGGTGATGTTGCTTCATGTTGCTTCCACAAGGCGCTGCCTTCAGCGGACTTCTTACTTTGTACTCTGCGCCGTCACATGTGGAACGAGCCTATCTTGCATGCATAAACTCGAGGCTTACGCCGGCCGGAGCTTTCCATCCCAGGGGTTCTGTTGGATTCCGAGTGGGAAGAACAGGAATCCAACCACATGCTCCTAGTAGATTGCAGTAAGTCATAAGGTTCCCCCCCTTAGAAATATTTAGGCTTGAAGACTAAACAGTTTTCACCATAGGGGCCCTCATCAATTTTCCACGCTTGCTTGTTTCTTGCCGTTACTCAGGCCTACAGCAGGGACAGCTCCCAAAGGCCGCCGCTGGATTTGCCTTTTGACCTACATCAACCCCGCCAGCCCTCGGATGTTGGCCCATGTGATTTTTGAGACGCAAGGCAACCCAGGAAGGTCCTCGGACCTCCCTTGTCTCCATTTGCTGAAGGGTTATAGTTTTTTCCCCTGTTGGTATAAAGCGAAAGGCAGACGCTTGATTTCAGGTGGACGATTTCTTTGGCAAGCGGTGAACATCATTTTCTGGGGCAATTGTAGCAACCTCACAAGGCAGCCTTGCGCATGGGCAAGCTTCCTTTCACAGGCGGTCCCTGATTTTCAGTCGGAGAATTGACATAATTGCCGTGGATGATTGAAAAAAGGCTGCAGGACGATGACATGGGAAGCGTAAGGAACCCTGCTGCATTATGAAATCTAATCTAGCGCACCAGCAGATGGGGCCGCTGTACATAAGGCCTAGCGAGGCTGATCTGGAAGGATAGTCAACCCCCTTCAGCCATGGCTTCGGCAGAGAGCACGTCCAGAGTGGCGCCCGTTGTTGCGCGGGCGGTCACTTGACGCTTGCTGGGTATCTTGGGCGCGTGGTTTCTGGGTCTCCTCCAAAGCGATTTGCATTTGGGGTGCACTAGCTCCGAAACAGAGTCAGGAAACTTAAAAACTATTTCTGCGTACCCCAGATGTGGGCCAGGTTTTGAGCTTAGGGGTGGCGGTTTCAATCACTCTTTTTGAGGAAATACGCAGAAATGAGGGGTCCTTGCGTTTCTCTGCTTCTCTTTTCTCTAAAGTGGTTTGCCAGCAATCGGTTTGTCTCAAAATGAGAATGCGAAACCCCCAAAATTGTTGGTTTACTCTGGACTCCGTCACTTTCGCAGTTTCTGGACGTCATACTTTTGGAAGGACAATTTTCAGTGGCAAACTGCTTATACTTGTTTTGCCAAGCCACTCAGGAAGTGCAAAAGGGGTTCCCGAGCAGGCATGCCCAATTCCCACAGCGGTCAGGAGTCATCAAGATGAAAACCCTTCAGCCTGAGGGTGATGAGGCAAGCGCTTGCTGCGAGGTTGGCCAGTTGTTTTCCACTACCTCCAAGAATGAACAGCTCAAGCAGAACATGGCCACTATGGGGTGCATACGCCATTTCCCTTTCGTGGATTAGTGGAAGTTGTCGATTCTACACCTATGCTCATCCGAGACTTGGGGAGTGGGGTCGGAAAGTAGCTTGGGGAACCCAGCCAGACACCCAAGGGAAAGCGGTCAATCCAAAATGGCCCAATGCAGGGGCTGATTCATTTTTAACATTAATTTCCCATATTGGCCTAGCAGGCTTTGTTGCCTTTAATCCATTTTGCAATGCGAGAAAAGGCAATCGCGAGCTGTCCGAACAAGGCAAACAAGTTTCCCTAATTTAGTTTATGGTACCCCTTCGGCTGGATTTGGGTTGAAAGCCAACGGAATGTAAAATGGGGTTGTGTCAAAATACGGGAGCCCCGAAATCTTGTGTTTCCTTTTGGTTTCTCTTTCAAACAGCCCCAACAACGCACCCGTACTCGAAAGAATCCAACAGGGGTTGAGCAGCAAAACCATATCCGCAAGGTTAACTTTGAAAACACGCTTAGGCCATATGTCCGCCATGGCGCCAGGGTGCTTGGAGCAAACCGGAGCAAAAGGCACTCTGACCTAACCACCAAGACGCAGAACCTCACAGGGCCCTCGCCCCCACCCCCCCATTGCAGTGCACACGATGCTGAACACTTGCGTGCTCTCTGCGAAAGAAAGCACAAGGCGATCTTGTTAAACATTTCTGATCCCGCAAAAGTCACGGGAAAGCGGCCAGCGAGCATACAACCGATGCTAGGCCAGCGTGTCCAAGCGAGTGACGCAACTCGGATGCGCTGTGCGAAGGTGGGTTTGAGGCCTGCGATTTTTGTTCCTGTTGGTGACCTTTGTCCAACAACCATGGAAGTTTGTTCTGCGGACTTCCCAAAAAGGAAGGTCGCCTTCCAAAACCCTCTGGTCGTCAGCTTTTATGCTTGAGGGAGGTACCCCCGCGCAGGCCTAATCCCAGAGTACCCTCCGGCTGATTAAACAATATGGTGCCCTAAACACATCATCTTTATAGAGGAGCGACCTTTTTGAGTACCCTATTTTGGGGTTCCATGTTGCTTTTGAGTGGTTCATTAGCATTCCTCCTTAGCCGATTGTTTGTTTGGTTTTGAAAAGGCCCAGTTTTGATTTTGCTATTGGTGGCAGCACACCCTCGGAATCCGAGCCTTTCGATTTCAGCATTGACTCTTTTTCAGTCAAGGCAACCCAAAAGGTGACGAATCCTGGGCTTTGAAGACCAGGGCAGCATTATTAGAACGGCCCCGCAAAGGACAACACGAAGCCTGAAAATGTTTGACTTGTTCGGATACAACATGTTATGTCTTGAACTTGGATGTCGTGTCTTCAAGTGTTGAATTGGCCAAGCGAAGCATCTAAGCTGCGCCAGTGAGCCGCTGAGCTGAGGCGATGCCTCCGTAGGGCTCAACTTTGGGCACCGCAACTTCGGGGCCCAAGCACTGGGCAGGAGATCCCTACACGAATTGAAATGGTGTCAGGGACCACCAGGGACCCGTTCAACGGGTGCATTCAAAGCTCATTCCCATCGCAAGCCGCCAAGGACACACTTTTGTGAGGGTCACGCAGATGCGCGGTATACGACCATATTGTCCTTCGGTAGAGGGCTCATCCCTCCCGAAAACCAGCACCTTTGGGTCGACTTTGACAGTTTCCATCAATCTATTACCCTCCCACCAATTAACATGGAACCTGACAGGGGGTCCTGGAAGACTATTTTCCTTTTAAAGGGACCCCCTGTCAGGTTCCATGTTAGTTGGTGGGAGGGTATTCATCCGGGGGAATTTGCCCAGCACGTGATGTGCGCGACCAAGGATCAACAGTCGCCCCAGCTACCAGTCCATCACCAGCGGCGCCAGCGGCGCCTGACCGAAGCATCAGGGGGATCCGCGAGTCGGGGGTCGGTTGGACATGATGTCAAGGGGCATCAGACCTCAGGGGAGCCCAGATAGTCGCCACGGGAAACTGGCAGAATGTAAGTGGCTAGACAGTTAATTATCAACAAACCATCATGGCTAAATATTGTTTCCAAATGCCCAACTCAATTCTATTGTTTTGGGCGTTTATAGTCGTGTATCTGGGGACCCAGTTCTTATTGGTTGCCAGCTGCTACCCGCCGAGTATGCCAACATGTTGAAGCCTTTGTGCTGCTGGGTGGCATCTCAAAGCACGCTTGCCTGTACCCTGGAGAATGACTTCCCTTCAGAGTGACAGAATCGTCACGGAGGAACCCAACGCCCCCTAGCTGCCACCCAGGTTCCACTGCATTGCGCAGGTTGGGATTTTCGCTCCCCCATGAAGAATCAGTGACCGCCCACCCTTGGTGAGAAAATCCGAAGCTGACCACACAACGATTGGTTAAGTTACAGCCACAATCCCAAGCCATGCCATGCCACGGCTTGTTGTAACAGCTCGCGAGGACCAACGCTGCAGTTGCACGGGCAGGGCGGTGCCAAAGGCACGCAACCAGGGCCCATGCTGAGCGGACAAAAGGTTGGCACCAGCGGCGAGAGAGAGGGGGGTTGTTTTCCCCTTGGTTTGTTCAGATTGTCGAGCTTCTTTCTCTAGTGTTGTTTTAGTTCCCTTTCTGTTTGCGCCGGGGTGTGGTGTCTCTACGTCTCCTTCTGGCTCAAGCTGAGCTGACGTTGATCGTTTCCCTGGCTATTCAACCTCGGTCCTCTTCAGCCCAGTGCTTTCCAGAGTTGCACAAGGGCCCGTCTCCGAATTTGAACATTGGCTGGGTTGCCGTTGGCTTCTTATTGAAACAAGGGTTGGTCCTCCTACATCGCTCTTGAGTTACGTTCACCCCCGATGACGTGAGGTTAGCAGCCAAATTCCCCCAGAGACCGGAGCACCGTCGCTCAGTTCTGGGAAGCCCGAGGACGTTCATGGGCACAAAGATCGAGTTGCTGCTGGAGCACGTGCTGCCCTCAGAAAGCGTCAGGCTCCACAATTGTGCCCATCCTTAACAAATAGCAGGCATATTGACCAAAATCTAAAGTTACAATTTGTGGTGTACCTTATTGTTGGGCCAAGTCTGCTTCACGAAATCCGAGAGCTTTCTGCGCAAATGGCAACGAGTTCACCGACCACGGGGTACCCGACAGCCCTCTAAACCCTACTCAACTTGCGGCTGAGAGTTGTTCAAGCCATGGCTTGAAAGGGTTTGGTTTGGGGGAAGGAAGGTGCAACCTCCCAACCTGCTCAGTCTCTGAGGCCAAGTTGGACTTCCGAGGGCCCCGCCTACCCTGGATGCCACCCCGGCAATACTGCTTCGTTCTCCCCGACGAGGATCGGGCTGAGATCGCCACCGGGTCCCAAACTGGGATTGGGGGAGGAGCTCGGTATTTTGCTTGTGGGGGCCTCAACATCGCCGCTTTGGCGGGGTGATGTTTAAAGGGGACGTATGAGGGATCCTGTTGGGGAGGGCGATTCTCACAGATTTCCAGTGCAACTTCCGTCTTCCTGCGGGGAAGGTTGGACAAATCAAGCTGGGGGCGGCCTCAATGTGTCGACAGCGCTAGCCTTCTGCAAAAACGCATCCGCAATTTCTGTCAGACTGTGAGCATCTTGCGGGGTCCCGTTTGCCAAGGTTGTTCCTGAGAGCCCAGAACAGGACCTGAAGAAAGGCGTTTTTGAAGCACGCCAGGGCTCCTTCAAGAATACGTCCAAAATCCACATGCTAGCTGGAAATCAGCTGGTCAAGGTGCTTTGTTGAATTTGATCTGCCGGGGCCTTCAAGTTCGTCGGTTTTTGGGAGAGATATCCCCAGGGCAGTGGGGTCCACCCTAAACATCCCCTTTTTGGCAGCGGGGTCGGGACCCGCTCACAAGGTCAACCCGCAAAGAATCGGTTTTTATTTTTTCCGTGTCTCTGCACGTTGGGGATTATTCCAGCCATGACTATTTGTGCCTTGGCGTAGGCGTGGGTCCCATTCCACCCTCTGCGGCACAAGACTCGGGTTTGGGACCCTCCTTCTCTGGAGAGGGTTGCATTGCCAGACACATAGGCATAGCTGATCTTAGCATTGCCAATCACGGAAGTGGCTGGAAGGGTTTGGACAACTTCCAGATTCGTCAAACAACTTCTTGCCCACGTTCGCTTACCTTGGAAACGTTTTGCCTTTTCCGGTTTTCCTTCAATATCCCTTTCAACCAGCAAAAGCAGCTTTTTGCGAGGGGTGACCCAACTCTGGCCCAGGTTAATGCGAAGAGTCATCAACCCCAACAATACCCCTCCCCGAATCTCTGCCTTTCTGGGCAAATCCCCAAGCAAAAGGGGGTAGGTGCAGCCCCAGAATCAAACCAAGTCCATTTTGTACAACCCCGTGCTTAACCAGAGGCGGCGGGGTTTGTTTCCCTGGCTCAGCCTGGGATCCCCCGCCAGGCCTTCGGGAGCGGGCGGTTGCTGCCCGCTGCTGCTTGGACGCGTGGGTTGGCTTGCTGGTTTCTCAGGGAATGAAACGGGGGTTTTGGGAATGAGCCAAGGCATCCGAGGAGACTGTCCATAGAGGTCATTCCTACCTTCCATGCTGAGAAGCAGCAAGATGACATCGTAGCTGAGTGATTCGCCAGCGACGCAGGTCCTTGATTTGGGGATCCCTGATTTCAGGTGCTGGAACTGCTGCTTGATGCAAGGGAAATAAATTCAAAGCGTTGGTGGTCTTGGGGCTTGGTGGCGCCGGAAGGGCGATTCTCCACAACTACTTATGTCCCCACCTCGTTAAGAAAACACGAAGACCATTGAAGACCCCAAAAGAACTGCCCGCTTGCCTTTCGGTTTCCGTTGCAACACAACTTGAGAGGTTAAGTATCCAATCAGACAAGCAACGACACAGGGAATGGCCTTCATGATTGGGGACATATTTTCAGGGAGCAGCCGGCAAAACTTGGGATGACCTGCCAGCCATAGCAGCTTTGCCCCACCCCGGCTCTTACGCAGAGTTCCCTTTCCCTTCTAAACCAGCATCGTCCTCAGTTGTTTGCCAATGTTGGGTGCGAGTCCTTTCAGTGGAGTGATGTTGGAATAGGAAGTATGCCCAAGCGGGATTGAGCACGAATGCCTCTTGTGGTATGAATGGGCAACCTCCATTGGACATCCTGATGCATATTGCATGCAGCGTGTGACAAAGGTGGCCTTTGACTCAGGTGCCATTTGCCTTCGCAGTGACCCATAGTTTAAGCAAGGCCATGTGACCAGGGACAAAGGGCATTGCAAAATGCAATGTTGGGGAGTCTGTTTTTGAGGAACCCCCCAATAGCCGTTTTCCCTTTAAACTGCAAAACCGGCACCCTCACAAAAAAGACACCCGTATCGACACTCGTTGCAAATGGCGATCCAACAAAGGCGGGGGCCATTGCGCAGCCGTGCGGCACCTGAGGCTCGCTTCATCATCGCGGACATCGCCGGCATGGGCAGCGACTCGGGCACTTTTGTTTTTCCCCGAGGTCGAAACGGGGGTAGCTCCAAACCGGGGTTCCGCCTTTTTTGCGTTGCAGCCTGACAACTCATGGCCAAAATGTTGACAGTCCTCCATGTCCGCATTGGGACCAGCAGAAGACACCAGCAGAAGACACACGCCTCGTGCGGTGCTTCTTTGTAGCAGGGTTCCCCTTTGGGGAAATGAACCACCCAGGGGTTTAAGTCTACCTTGGGGAAATCAAATAAAAGGAGCTCTGCGCCCAAAGGACCAATGGAGGGTGGCCCTCATGTCGTGCTTTGGGTCGCCTTGGGAGTTTCCCAGCTCCCTTTGAAGCCAAGTGGGAAAGGCTCCCAACGCCCAAACCACGAAACCAAGCCACCAATTTAGGGGTAAGTTGAGTTTCTTTGCCGTCCAGCTTGCGAGACCCTCTCCAAAAGCAGAAGGAAGCATCGGCCTGCAACATGATTTGCCCCTAGACAAACTAAATGTGGGTTTGTCTCATGGGATTGTTCTCGTTTGGCTGGTTTTTGAAAACGTTGAGAAAAAGCCAAAGCCAAGTTGCCCATTTGGATCAGCCTGGGAATTTGGTGCTTAGGCAACATCAAGACCTGGATGAGGCGGTGGTTCGTTCGCTTCTTCCGGCACTGCAAGCTCGAAAGCCCCTTGGACAACATTGGTGCAACAGTCAATCGGGGACGTATGTCCTAGCCAGCAGCTAGGGGCATTCAGGGGGAGCCTTTTGTGCTTCCTGGCTACGAGAATGCTGCTTAATCCTTCCAAGGGACACCTAGCCCCACAAATTCACGTCAATTAGCCTGGACACCCACAATAGATGCATGAAAAGGATACTCTCAAAATGGCGAGTTTGTAGATTTCGCAAACCAGCTCACTTCAAACGGTTCTTGTATGTGACTTGTAGCAGCTTGATCCTTTGTGGCGGTGTGGCCAGTTTGAAGGGGCTGTGAAAGAAAGCGCGTGGGAAGCAAGCACGGTTAGCCGGCTCACTGGGGGCTGTTAGAGTGGTGGCCAACTGGCAGCGAATGGCTCAGCCCCTTCATGAGTGTCCCAGGGGTTCCCTTCTGAAGTGCATAAAGGAACCATTTTTTGCCAAGGCGCGCGTGGCGTGCCACTGCATGTTACAGTCGAGGCCTTGGGAAAACCTTTGCCTCCAACCCTGCTTGCAGTTGCGGGCAATTGTCCATGCAGAAGATTGACAATACATGGGGTCTCCGCAGGAAATATTTAGAAGGTTGAGTTTTGAAACATCAGGCCATATGATTTTGAGTGTGCGGACGTGGGCCAAGATATAAAAGTCTGGAAACCCAGACCCAAAGTAGCTTTGGAGATCGACTCAGGTCTTCCCTCCACGAAGATTGAGAACGCCAGCGAGGGAGAAGAGGTGGACAAGGCGCGAGGGTTGATTTGCTTGATTCATGATGAGGGGCCTGGCCAGGCCGCTTTGACCACCCATCCATGTGCCTAAGCGTTTGCCTATTTTTCGGCATGATGAATAGCTCACCTCCCATCGTTCCTGACATCTGCGTAAGAGACGGCCTGACACATTTCAATCCAAAATGTTGGAGGTAAATGGAAACCGCTGATTGTATGTCGTGCACACCGATTCGCGGCTAAAACGTGCTAAAACCATGATGTAGGCCCTGTACTTGGGGAGTATTTCCGGTGCAGTTGTAGCAGACATTTGACGAATGCCACAAGTTTTAACCCGAAGTCGACTGGCTAATCAGGTTTCCCAATTGACTTATGTTCTTGGACAAGGCCACCTAAGCGACAATCACCTTTCCCTTGGTCCATTTTATGTCCCCGTTTGCTCCAGCAGAACAAATACAGAAGCCGGCTTCATAAATCAAACAAACCAACGTGGCGTAGGCAATCGTTGGTTCCACGGCCCCGAGCGATCGGACACATGTCCGAGTCATCTCGCAGGTGCTGACCATGGTGCACGACACCAAGGTGGAGGTCATGGCCCGCCGCATCGTGGGCACCTGGGCCCAGCAGGCGGCTTGGCCTCGGAGCTGGAAAGGTCGGCTTCCTGGTGGCTTCCCTTGAACGAACCACCGGGATATGAGTTTGAAAGATCAGAGGTTTGACATAATTTGAGATATATTTCGCCCTGAGATTTCAAGGGGCCAGTTCAAGAAGAGCTTCCGTGTGAGAGGGTGATGTTCAAACGGGAAACTTTGTTGGATGGGGGAACCAGCCCATGCTGTAGATTCATACAGGTTTTACGACCCCATGCTGCACGGGCGCCTAAACGTCAAAGCCAGGAAATCGAAGAGGTCGGCCCATGGCATTGAGTCGCACAGCCAGAATTACAGACAATTCGAGGGTTCAACTCTCAGGGTCAAACAGTTTCAAGTCCCTGTATGAGTTTCCCTTTAAAGGAGTGATGTTTAAAGGTAGCATATTAGGAACTGTTTGTGCAAAATGAGATGTTTTTTTTTGCATTCTCATGGTGCCTTAGTTAAGTTGGTCGATGCCCTTTCCTTGGCCAACGGTTGGTGGGTTGTTTCATTTGCCCGTCGCACAAATGATGGCAACGGCAACTTGAATCCTAGGTTTAGGATTGCCTATGAAGGTTCTGGTCGAGAGGACCTGTGATTTCCACAAGCGACTCCGTAACAAAGGCTTGGGGTCAAGCATAGGCCAGTTTCCCCACAATCTGATTAAGTGCCCCGTGGCCCAGTGGCACTTTTGTCCCCTTCTTTGGGGATGGGCTTCCCTTCCAAATCAACCAGCAAAAACAGGGTGCCCTATTTCTCCCCCATGGCCACGAGGGGGTCCTACCCAATAACTTGTATCCCGCCCATGCCCATGGCAGGCTATCTTGAAGAAGGATGAGATGATCGCTGGGGCCCCAACGGAAGTCGGGGTACCGCCAAACTTGCTGCTGTTGAGTTTAGCATTCGGCGTTTCCTTGAGGTTGTGAAATTGCACAAAACCATGGCAACGATATGGGGCTCACAAACAAACAATGCGCCCCAGGAGGCAATAACCTTGTTGGGTGCTGGTCTTCAGTTTCTCATGCCTTTTGTTAAGCAATAACCTTTACACGCGTGATTTTGCTGGAATGCAAAGGCGGTTGGTGCCTATTGAAGCGAGATAGAACAACGGCCCGCAGTTTGGGTTACTGTTGCTTTCGGGCGGGGGCATGCCTGGTTGAGTGACCCCGCCTTTCTGTGAACAGCCCCGTGTTTGTAGCCTTCTTTCCCGGGTTGTTCAAACACAAGCCTCAGTTCCTGGCTCAGTTCTCCCGATGGCAGCACCCTTGTTTTTGTGCGTCCCACTGCAGATTGCGGCACCTTTCAAAGGACCCCTTTCTCGAGTTCCATTTGGGGGAGGGGATTATTTTGTTTGTCTTTCGGTTCGCTTCCTTTTCAGCGCGTCTTAGACACCTTTCAAATCCGATCCGAGGAGCAGATTGCCAGCAGCACTGGGCTGCCGCTCGGGGAGAACGGGGTCATCGTGGTGAAGGAAGGTCAGACCGCGGCTCGATGAAAAGCGGCAAGCGATTTTGTGCTCAGACAACTTCCAACGACACAGTGATGCCAACTGAATAGAATATGGCAAGCTAGGGAACATTCGGAAATCGGTTCGCTTATTTACCGTACTTTGCCATGGTCGTGTGGTCGAGTATGGTTGGTTTACTTGGTTTAATTAGGGCATGCACTACTCGCAGTTTTCCGAATTTGGGGGTGACGTTGTCCATCTTAAGCCAACCACAGGAAGGGGGGGGTCCTCAAAGATCCACGCCTCACTGCATGCTTGGCTGATGCATAGGGCTCCTGATGCGGAACGGTGGTTGACTTGTTTTTTTGGTAGAAGCCCTGTGGAAACGGGCTGGGAGTTTTCCCCACTTCCGTGGTGAGATGTGGTGAGGAATGGTTCCCGCTTCAAGCGCATGATCTGGTTTGTGGAAATCCACTTTATCCCAGAGAGATCAGTCAGCGCAGTGGTGGGGGATTGCCGTTCCCCCATCTCCATAGTTTGCTGATCCTACCTCTCGCTTGAGGCGAACGGGGTCCCAAGTTAACACGGAACCCAAGGGAACCGGCAACCCAACAAGGTCCCCAAACGCAAATTCCTCGAACACTGCCGCTTGGGCGTCCACGCTCAGGAGTGAACTGAATTTTGGTTGAATCAACTCATGAAATATGTCGGACTGGATTTGGATTCCTCCAAGGTGAAGGCCTACTTTAAGGCGAAGCGCGCGGCGCTCAGCTTTCAGCTTGGCTTTGCGCTGCGGGGTTCATCTTTGTGCTGTCAAAACTTCCCTACACTTGGCCGGGGGTGGTTTTAATGTGAAGACAAGGCTTATGGAGGCATCTTCCGATTTTGAGACAAAGCCATATTTACTGCTTCGGAGCCGCAGCAGAGGTGGCCGCAGCAGCCAAATAGTGAGTGATTTTGCAGGCGAAGGATTGTTTGACCTTCCCATGGCTTCTGAGGCATGTTGGGTTCCAGCTAGTGGGCCGTGGTCAACACCCTTCTGCTCAAGGTTGGTTGGCTGGTCGACCCCTGAAAAACCCAAAGTTAGACAACCATCACGGGGATTCTTGAGGGAACTGCAGCCGTGCTGGACTTACGGAGTTGTTCCCGATGTCAACGACCCATTTGACCATACCTCTTGTATTGGTGTGAAACAAGTATTGGATGATGAAGAACCATTTTTGGGGAACCTCCGATGAAGCCGAAGGCAAGGACGGCACCGTGGGCAAGAGCAAGAAGCCACGGGAGGCGCGAGGGAAATCTAAATCAGGGAGGCGGCGCGAGATGTGGGATCCAATTCTTATCAGGCGACCCTTTGATTTGGATTGGAGGTTTGGATGTGAACCCCTCGTTCTTGCAGAGGGTAGCTGGGATCTTATGTCAATATTGGAATTGTTTCGTGAAAGTTGCAGATGCTTTGTGTTTGCATGCGCTTAAAGCCAAGGGTTGTTTTTGGGGAGAAACCAACCCCTGGGTGTAAATCTAGCTTAATTAGGGCAATCAAGAACTGGAACCCTTTCTCGGGCTGCCCCGAAAAGACCTTTTACAACCATGTGTAAAGGGTGATGTTGGGGTGATGTCCTTTGTCCGCCACCAGCAGGGTTCCCTTTTTCTAGTTGCAGAAGGCCTTCCATGTTTTCCCTTTGGCTAGCTTAAACATGGGAATGTGCCACGATAGGGGGACTCAAAAAGCGCTGCTTGCCCTTAAAAAAATAACAATACACACCCATGTGGCGGGGGTTATGTTGGGACCCGTTGATGGTCTTTGTTCTTCCCACCCGAAGCGCTTCCTTTTTGGCTTCAACAATTCTCTTGTGGGGGCATGTTCGAGGTGGGCAAAGGAACTTGGTTGGACAAGAGTCCATCTCCCGAGCTGAGCGGCTTCCACCCGATTTTTTTCTTTCAGAGCCGCTAGGCAACTGAAACTCTTTTCTATGTCTGACGGAGGTACCAGGCCACCGAACGGCGCACCAGAGTACTGCAAACAACTCGCGTCTGGGTAAAAATGCATTTGCAGGCCGGTAGGAGTCCTAAAATCCACAGGAATATTTCAAAGGTACAGCTTCCCACCATCAACCGGCCAATGCTCTCGTATGTTTGGGTAGTATACTGCATAAAATGCAAGAATCACTCAATCAATAAGCCCAATCCATACATATATGCAGATAAATGCATGAACACATGCATCAACAAATGCACATGCATATGTATACAAAATGCATGTATGCATCGTGCTATTACCACTGGCATTGGTAGTCATCCCAGGCCGTGGTGATCTCCATTGAGGAGCAGACATTGCGGGTGAAGTTCGCCAACAAGCGCCCGGGATAGCACCTCCGCGATTTCTTTTCATTTGCTGGCTCGCGACTAGGTTGCCACGTTCGGGGCTGAGAGAAGCCCACGAAAAGCGATAACGCAGTATATAATGGCAATACGAGAAAGGGTGGTTTTCCAAACCTATGTGAAGGCTCTAAGCAGGGAACGAGGCCCCCATGCGCCATTCTGTGTGTCCATCCTCAAATCTCCAAGCTGATTCCTGAATGAGAACCGGCAAGTTCAACTAGGCTTCTAAGGCTATTTTCCCGTTCTTGCAGGTTTTCGTTCTTGCCAGAACTCCGCGAAGCGACAGCAAACCGGCTGGTGTTTGAATCGACCGGTTGCAATAGATAGCTCGCTGGCCCACAGTGCAACTGTTTTGTCCACCCCAAAGGCTATAGTGAGTAGGAATCAACTAGCGCAAGGCTTGCCCCAATTGTGGCCCCGCCACTTCCTGGGAAATGTCCAAATGTGTGCTGACCCGTGCCCATTTGGCTGGATACGTGCTAACTGGTTGTTGCTACAACCATTGACTCCCAGGCCCATTGGGCAAGTGAGCCTAAGAGGGCTACCTTCAAGCTACAGTAACTTCTCAAGGAAAGCAGCCAAATGCCAACTGCCAAGGTTTTGGCTAGCTTTCTGAAGTTCCGGTATCTGTTCCTTAAACTGTTTGAGGGTGGATGTGCATTACATATTTGATTCACAACGCTGGCTCCTGGCTGCCAACCCGTTTTACATCGGTCCTCCACCCCTTGTGGGAAGAGACTATGTTTCAAGGGGACAGGATCTTTGGGACTTCCAATCTCGGCTCGAATATGTGCGTGTGAAGAGGCACAGGCCGCAATTTGGACGTTTAACTTGGAGACTCGTCCGGTGGCCAGGGCTTGCTTTTGAGACCCCGCTCTTCTGGAGGGAACATGAAGCGCCCTTTTTGTTTCTTGTAGCAACCCTCGTTTCCGAAGCCGATGTTGGGGCGACAAACTTGCAGGGTTGGCAGGTCTTTCAGGGACCTACGCCCATCTACGCCCCAAAGAAATCCTTTGGACCAGTTGCATTTTCCGGATATATGCTTTCCCCAAGGTGCCGGGACTTTCTGCTCCCTCAGAGACATATGCCGATCTACCCATTGACATTGGTCGGAGACTCCACTTCATGCACCCTTCTAAAAAGGGTTCTCGTCCAAACATCACCTTTTTGGGGTCCAGTTTGAAGTGAGCTTCCTTTTTGGCGTGATGGTAAAGGAAATGTACAGCGTATACGGACCCCAGCTGAATCCACTTGTGTTTGGTAGCGTCCGCACTAAAATGACTAATGAATCCCAAAAAGGGTTCCTTTTTTAAGAATCGCTGGACAACTTACAGCCGCGACGAAAGTATGCGTCACCTGCAGAACCTTCTGAGGGTGCAGTTAAAACCCAAGGTGGGCCTTGCGCTTGGCCATAGCACCTGGCTGTGACATGTGCCAACCGGTTTGCAAACAGACCGCATGAATGACTTCCATACAGACCCTACCCCAGTCATGTCACGCCGTCATCACGCTGTGCAGCTCTGGGACCTTTCGCAGTGCCACTTCGGGACGTGGTCAAAATCAGACTTCAAAAATGGGTGGTTTCTCTCGCCTCCATTGAAAATTCAACCCGAACGGGCAACTCTCAAACACATGCGAAAGCACCCCATTTTAAGCCACACCCAATGGTCCCAGTATGTCCCCGTGAACTCGTGACTTGTTCTTGGACATCTTAGTGCTTATCGTTTGTCCCATGGACATCCACTGAAGGAGGTCAACTACTTAATTACAACAAAAATAAGAATAAAACAAACACATCAATTGAATTCTAAATAAGCCTGGATTTTCTTTCAAGCACCATGTTGAGGTGTTCTCCCCAAACTCCCGTTGGGCTGAGTCACTGAGGAAACGCCACGAGATCCCCCACAACTGGGTGGTGAGCTCCACGCCGCTGCCCAACCCAAAGCTCCTCACTGCCGGCTGCTCCCCTGAGAGGCGAGCCAGCGAGCCGAGCGGCGAGGGCCGCTTTTTGGGGAGCCTACTTTGGTCTGCAAGGGACGCCTTAACACGACGCCACAGATTTGAGGGGCTTGAGACAAACCCATTGTTAACCGATATCATTCTTTCAGTTCTGTGATTGCCCTTTTGGACTGGGACCCTGATCCAGTAGGAACCTTTCTTCTCACGTAACAGGATGGCAAGGAAGCCATGAGTCGGTATGTGGCAAACCCGGCCTTTTGACATTTGGCCGCAAGGTAGTTGCCAAGAGGGGTCGGAATATTGGAACGATGGCTTCCCAACAAGATTCCAACTACAGCGACCCCTAAATTACAGTCTTCCCAATGGACATGGAAATTGATCGCTGCGAAATGACAGCCGCATTTCAGGGAGGTATGCTACACGGTGAAATTCTCCAGTAGTTAATGGTCAGTTTGGGGGCTGGTACATTCCTCCAGGAGTCCTTCCGTGGATTCCCTTCCAAGTGCCTTTTTAATGGTCTTCAGGGGTGGGCCAAACCTTTCCGGGGGCTCTGTTGCATGCTTAAATCTACGCAGTCTTCGGACCCCGCAAGTCAACCGCAAGAAATGGTTTCTGGCAAGCCAGCTAGAGGAATTTCTGCAAGAAGTTTGCATGCCAGATCTGTGGGTATTTGGCGTAGTTTCTGTACATGGGTGTGAGTCAAATGGGGACAGTGGTTTTCCCATTGGTTTCCCTTTAAACCAACCTAAAGAAGGGTACCCTGAAAAAACACACTCCCACCAGGTTTTTCTGCTGTTTCGCATTCCGAGGGCGAAACTGGCTGGAATGCCAGGCTGGCGCGGGGCAAGCTGGCGATCACCTTGTTGCGCAGCGCAGCCTGGCAGAGACGCGGGGAAGCGTGTGCTTGGGGTATCTCAATGTGGGTATAGGTCTAAATAAAACCGGGGGACCGCAGGTTTTAGTCCATGTGTCCATTTGCCACCGTGCCATTTTCGGGGTACACCTTTTGACCCACACCCTTGTCATATCGCATAATTAGGTTGTTGATGTTCTTTTGTTTTACAGACCTCAGGTACGTTGAATGCTGCTCCAGTGGTTTTGGGCAAATGACCCGGAGGAGCATTGGTGCGTGCCATGTTGGTCGTCAGTGGGCGGGTCCTTCTGGGGATGGAGGGCCTTGACGAATGGGATGGCGAAATGAACAACGAAGATTTTGCGCGACCCCCTGCGGAGAAGAGTTTGGATCCTATTCAGACAGCAGGATCCGGAAGGATCCTGAACAGAAGAGAGTTAGGATCCAAACTACAATGTTTCCTCCCTGAAAACTGGATTAGATGAAATCTGTTTTCTGATTTTGGTATTTGTTGGGAACTGTTGATTTGCTGAATTCCACACCTGAGGAAAAGAGCATCCTCGGCCTCGTCATGGAGACTCTCAGCGAGCCCTTGGCCCCAAATGCGGAGGGAGTGGGGAGGAACTGGTAGCTTGTTTGCTCGGGACCCTGAAGCCTTCAACTTGTTCAGAAAGTACTGGTTTTCTCTCACCGAGCAGCAACATTCGAAACTCCTTGCAGGGGGGCACAATCATGAACCCAGCCAACAACTAGACAATGGACACCTTGAAAGCGGAGAGAGGGGTGCCTCAACGACAGGTTAAGTACTTTCGAGCTGGCGGTTTTCCCGCCTCTGTCAATTATTGATATCCGTCCCCTTTTTTCCGCTAGGGAGCAATTCTCCAAATGGAGCCATAGGCTATCCCGCAACCCAGTGAGAAGGCGACTGGAAGCCTTTGCACGCTTGGCTCCCAGGAACCAGAGGCGACTGCCTCGAGGCCCTCCGCGACACAGCCCCACTAGATGTTCAAAAGCCAGAGTGGTCGCAAGACTCGCTTCCCCAGTTTCTGGACTTCGACCAGTTTGGGAAGATCATGTTGGTTCCCGACCAATCCACTCAAGAAGATTGTTTTTTTTGTTCAACCATTCGACCCTCCTTTGATAGGGTTCTCCAAGACCTCAAAATGGTAAGAAGAGTGTCCTTTCCGTTCCCTTTAAAAGCTACCGAGGCCCCTTTCGTGGTTTCCATGGCAATAGGTAAGTCAAAACGAAGCCAGCCATTTTAGGAGATCCCTGAGAAATGCCCAGGGTCAGCGATTTGCATCGCGTGTTCTTTCCAGGGCTGCTGATATGCTGGAAGAGCTGAGCAATGGTGTGGAGGGGCCGAAGCCTCAGCAGCAGACCCATGACTTTGCCTTTGGGCTCCCGAGGTATTCCCGGTCAGGGTTTCTTAAACCGCCTCAAGACCAACTTGCTGTACAAGGAACCGGTTCCTAAAAGAGCTGAAGCAGGTGATGCTTCAGTTGGTCCACACGTGTCCTGGCAGCGCCGTTTTTTGGCGAGTCCGTTTTTTTTTGGCCGAGGTGCAAGGAGCGGGGGGACCCCCAAGGCACGGGATGGCACGGTCGAAGCACTTTCGGGAAATCACCCCACACGGGGCCCGTCTTTTTTGAGGTACCCTTGTTGGATTTGAAAAGTAAACCAGGAACTTTAGTCCAGGCAACCTCAAAGATGATCACTACAAATTCCAGGTCCTTTGGGTGAGTTCAAAGCCATTGATTCGCGACACCGATGGCTCGATGGCTTCCAGGCGCTGAGAAGCTGATGAAGGTGATTCGGCATTACTTGGACCAGGAGCTCGTCGACTTGGACGAGGACCGGATCTGCAAGTCCAATGGTCATGGAGGGGTGTCAGGAGGGGCCTTTCCAAGAGGATAGGCTTCCCAAGCCTTCCTGTCCGCTTTGGAAAGAGGGTGGGCACAGAGGGTGGGCACTGAAATATGGATTGCCAAATACCCGCCACGGGGTTTTCCTTTTTGTAGAAGTTCCTGCTGAGTAGAGCCTGGCAGATTAATGCGGATGGACAAGATCCTTTTCCCGCCAGTTGGGATTGGGTGCAACCCCAATTCAACGAATATTAGGATAAAGACAACCTACTGATTTTTGTCCATCCACTGTACGGTGTGTTTCGGATTGGCTCTTTGATTCGACTGTGGAGTTGATGCATAATAGCAAGCAAACTGGAGGGGCGGAAATCACATATTACATGGGAGTGTTGGAGTTACAAAGCTTGAGCAAGAAGCATATATCACCTTTGTCCGTGGGGCTTGACGGACCCAAGTCCTTGTAAAGCTGGTGTTTAGATTCGCATCCTAGGAGCCCTGCGTACACTTCATTTGGGTTTCGACGGGTTGGGGCTGTTAAGTTTATGTTGTTTCCTATGTTGAGATGCCCTCATATGTTCGCAGCATGTGTCCAGACCTGTTTATCACAACCGGAGATTGCAAGGCGTTGGAACTCTCTGGCCTTCATGGTATGTGTTGCTATGTGAGTTGAGTGTGCGTTACCCTTGCACAAGCAGCCTGGCTTGGTTGAAAAGGCTTGCTTTCCAAAGTTGCGCACGTTCATTATTTGGGTAGGTGGCCTGAGGTAGAGGGCATAAATTTGTTCACTTCGGATTGAACCGGAAGTGCCCGTGCCTGCCTCAAACCCAGAAGCACCACGCCTGCACTTTAAGGGATGAACCGGAGGTGAACATGTGAGGTGTGCGGAAACCAAGGGTTAGTTCAATAAACCCTTGTCAGATCAGTCTCTGAACTTGTCGCGTCGTTTTTGGGGGCTGGGTTGCTTTCATCATACCTGGACCTTCTTTTGTACCCATAATTTTGGGGTCGCAGGGAAAAAATGGGATTCTTTTACGAAGAGGCGTTTTCTTCAGGATGTAGATATTGTGACCCCATTTCTGTTTTTCATGCTTACTCCAAATTATAGGACAAAGGAGACCGACGCAAAGAGACACCTGGGCCACTCGAGGTTTGGAGCTGCTTTGTCGCCCGGTTTGCCCAGATTTTGGCCCAAAGGGCTGCCATGGCTGCCCAAGTGAACCAAGACTTGCTTCTTGATTGGAGGTGCCTCCCATGCCTGCCCTGCACTTGCTCGTAAGTTGCTTTTCGTGCATGCATCGCACTTGTTCGTTACAGTGTGTGCACTTGGCTCAAGCTTAGACACCGAGATAGTGTCATGGAGGAGTTCTTGCGCCATCACAGCCAACACAAAGAGGCACTGCAAAAGAGGGGTTTCTTGACCAAAATACGCATGGTCATGTTGAAGCCGGCCAACTGGACATGTTCACGCGCGCTTGGTCTAAGGGCTTGGAGGCCTTCCTGATGCATTTTGGATTGAAGTGCTCAAGGTTCTCTACCCAACGCAGGACCAACATTTACCAGAGCGTCGTGGGCAAACAGTGTCTGCATACGCGCTTGCATGCGTACAACCCTTTGCAGGAGCCAGCTGTGACCGATGGTACCCTTGAAGACATCCTGGTGAACTTTGATAACCATGGAGCCGTATCCCACTTAGCAAAACGTGAGAAAGGACAGGTGCGTGCATTCGCGCGCGTATGTGGCATTTGCCCATGAACTGTTCAAAGAGGTATCTTAGCTGGCCAGTTCTTTCGGGTAGGGTCTGTCTACCACATCAGGAGACCTTGGCTGGAGCGCCCCTTGGTGGCAACACAGTGGCCTGACCATGCGCGCTGTCCCATCACCCAATCGTTGCTTTTTTTTCGACCGTCAGGCAAGCTCGTCATCAGCAACATCTGAGCAGTGAGCCTGGGCGTGCCGGTTGATTTTCGGCGCTTCTGCAGTTTGTGGACCTTTGCTTGATCAAGACTTGCTTGATCAAGACGAGCCACTAGGGCATTGAGCCACTTTAGCGCGCTGTCCAAACATATATTTTGACGTAAGGGCGCCATTGTGACCCTAAATCACTTCAGCAACATGTGAAACATTGCCCGGATAATTGCAGGGAACGCGTGCTGACAGTTTGAAGAGGCTGCACATGACAGCTTTGAGTCCTATAACTCGTTGATCAGATTGCCAAAGGAGAAGGACAAAGGAAAACCATGCAGCAATGCAATGTCTTTTGAGCATGGGTATGAAATTGATTCGAGTCAGCTTCGAATATACATGCGTGCATGTGTGTGCCACGCAGATCAATAATTTCCTGCATACAGCATGCGCCAAAATGCCATCACATGTGCATCCATGTGCATGCACGCATCCGTTCTCCCTCACGCTTTGCTTGGCTCCCCGCGCAGGTGCGTGTCCGAAGGGCGGCGAAGGGCATCATGGCCTGGCGCCAAGCTTTCCCGCGAGTGTGCGCTAAGCAAATGAGCTTAGAACATCGTTTGTCTGGAATTGAGCTGACAACAAACGCCAGCATGTGTGATTGCGGGTGCTTCCCTCAGTGTGGCAACTCAAGTCAGCTAGCAGCTGGAACCCCTGTAGCTTGCAATGCCTCCGCCTTGTGCCTTTGTGCTTGAAGGGCTGGCCGCTGCATGGGAGGCTGACCCAGAGATTAGGCAAATGGCCAGGGAACAGAAGTCCTTGGTCAAATGGATCAATTCCAAAGCGGTGGGGGTGGCGTCGCTGTTTCTTGATTGCAAGTGAAACCTTGAAGAAGGATGCTGGTTTGCGTGAGTTCGTGCAACACAGCGTTAGTAAGTGTGTCTCCATTCCACTGCTTGAGTTTGTACGCACTGTCCTAGGCAGGCAGTCTGTTTGAACGCTGCGGCTCTCAAGCACATGGCCACAGCCTGGATTCAGATCTATGACTTTGAGGCGGTTGGGGGCCCGCGGACACCACCGATCAGATGCATCCAGGATCAGGTGCCTACACATGCAACACCTTTCTTTAGCCCCCAAAATGAAAATCGATCCATGATTTACTTCCCTCTACCAGGTGTCTCCGAGTGTCTCCCCATCCTCTTAGAGATAAATCCTTTTGGGGTATAGATGTCCTCAATGGGAATCGATCCATTTTTAATGTCCCTTCATATCCCCATCCTTTGAGGTGGACGCCTTCTGGCTGCTCATGAGTGGTAACAACGAAGGCAGCTCGCCCACGAAGCTGGGCAGGCACGCTGAGGCTTGGGGGTTGCGGAAGCTCCTCTCCTACGTTTTCCGCAGACTGCGGATTGGCCGTGTGCCCCGTGTTTCCTGATTGCACTTCTGAACATAAAATCCTTCCCACGAGTACACTGGAAGTTCCTTGGAAACCTTTGCTCAGGATGGCAGCGTTCATGAGCTGATGCAGCTCTTCATCCGGGCCTGGTGGCCCGATCAAGAGCAAGATTATGACGACCAGGATCACCAGGCCTGCGCGAAGCGTTGTGTGTTTGGGCGCGTTCTTATACGCGCACGCGGGTATACTTGGCAAATAAGATTTGTCAGGAAGTGAATGAGGATGAGGAGGCATGGATTCATGAAGACCCTGATGATGGTGGCCTTGATGGCACGCCTTTGGAGGACTATGCCATTCAGCCCCCACCCCTTGCTATGCCCAGTGAGGGCCATGGTGTGGTGGACCCTTGCACCCTGGAAACGTTGCCCATGGGCGACCTGTTCATGCCTGAGCCCAAAGAGCTGAAGCTCCAATTTCAAAACACGCCCAACTTCGACGTTGATGACCGCATCAAAGTTTTGACGTAACTTGTCGCATCCGGGAGGGAGCTGCCATAAATGTTACTTCTTTGGTTTCCTCACTCGAACATGTGATTTTATCCCAAAACCCAAGTGGCCCCCTTGCTTGAGGCAGAAGCTCAAGGACTCGCACAAGCAACGCCCTGTTCACCGTCCGAAGGTGCCCAACATATCCTGCTGTGCTTGTGTTTGTGTGTTCCTTATATATTTGTTGTTTTGTTTGTTTGTTTGTTTGTTTGTTTGTTTGTTTGTTTGTTTGTTTGTTTGTTTGTTTGTTTGTTTGTTTGTTTGTTTGTTTGTTTGTTTGTTTGTTTGTTTGTTTGTTTGTTTGTGTGTGTGTGTCTGTGTTTGCATGCATGTATGTGTGTGCGTTTGTGGCTATATATACGCGCTTGTGTGTATTTAACTTGTTTAAAGGGTAAAGATGCGCGTGTGCTTGTTGTCCAGGCGCCGCTGTCCATGGACCTCACTCTGGATGATGAGGCGGAGGCAGGTTCCAGTGCGCAATATCTTTGCCAACAAAAAATACATGTAGCAGGATGCCCGCGAGCCACAACCTTGCCAAGGAGTGGCCAATCAGGCTTGGCTTGCAACCTGCATAAATGGTACACACCAAGAAGCATGCGCGTGCTATCTATTGAGTGTCAGCCGTGGCAGGTGGGGAGTGGGGTGAAGGCTTTGGAGAAAAACAAGGCTGGTTGTTTGATTGTTTGGTTTTCCCCAATTAATGTTGGCCATGGTCTGCTACCTGACAGGGTGGCTTTGCTGAAGATCCTCGACCGCATGCTGGACACAGTGAGGCCAGGGCAAGGAGCCTTATGTTGCCCTGGACTACTCGTGACCCTTTAAAAGATGTATTACACTTGTATACGTTGACACACGCATCGATGATTTTGGAGATCGTTTCCCAGCAACTAAAGGGTCACGGAGACTCCAACCAAGCGAGCGTTCCCCCTTGCACACTGTTTTGCTGGTGGGCAGGTGGTGGAAGTTCCTACGGGGAAAAAACCAGTGCTGGTAAAGGAAGAGAAGAAGGCGCGTTCCCAACACGGTCTGGACTACAGCTCCCGCCTTGCAAACTTGTCTGCCGTTGTCCAGGTTGAAGCTCCTGTCGGGAACCAACCGATGCTGGAAAAGAAAGATGAGAAGGCGCTTCCCCGACACACGTTCTCA